AACGGATACACCAGAGAACCTGGTCGGAATTATCTAATAATGTTGAATAAACAAACATTATATTGGTCTACTGTCAAATGAAACGCAAAATAATAAAAGTAGCCAATATTTCTAATAGTACACTGATTTCAGCACATTGTACAGGAAAACATAGCACATGAAATAATGTACAAAATTAATGTATCCCAAGTGATCAAGTGTATGATATTCAATGTATACATTATCTTATAATTGCTTCATCAGACAAGACTACTAATTTTCTATTAACTACTTGGACAAGCAAACTAGGTTACTAGGTCTTAGCGATGTCATGAAAATAACTTTGAAACAGAGCTCAATTGAATTCTAAGCAATCTTTGTACTGTATCACAAAGATCATTATTAATTTAAAAATAGATTCATTAAAATTCGCAATCATAAAAAAATAACATTGAAATCAAACAATTTTACTATGGATAAGATGCAAGCAGTGATTCATTTGGTTAAAATTTGAAATTTGTACACACCTATACCGGTCCTGGTGTAACTATGTAAATAAACATCTAAGTACTATACAATTCACAGCATCTGGTAAAAATATTCACACAACTTTGCTTGTTTTTTTTAAATTTCGATTTGAATAAAAATACCAATTTCATTTATTCTATCTCAAAATTACATAGCCTACTTATAGCAGATTTATATTCCTTTTCTGAGAGATTTACTTCAGAGCAAAATTTGAATAATTAATCGTTTCTTTTTTTATCAATGCACAGCCTCTCCTTACTAAACAAACTGTACTAAATACATTGTTACTCTTCCCAACCAATTTGATTAAAACAGATCTATATTTCATTTTGTTTTTTTATACTTTCAATGGTCTCTACTACATGAAGATCAGACCAGTTGTTGTGGAAGGTCACCTCAGGGGTCATACAAGCAGCTTTTGATCCTATGACGTCAGTTTGATTAACCAATCAGTGTTGATGTTTCTAGTGGGTTACCCACAGTTCCGTGCATCTCACGCCAACAACTCGCCGAAACAAACGGTTTCATTGGCTAATGCCTCACATCAACCAAAACACAGGTTAAAATAACAACTCTTCCAGATCCTATTGTAGTAAAGAAAAGTAAAACGAAATTTTGAACTATAAAAAACGAAACGAAATAGGATCTGTGTTTTATCAGATTGCTTCACAAAAGGCTGTCTAAAAAATTAACTTATTTTTTTTCCCAAAAAAGCTTACTGATTCTTTTTTTTGTGAATTGTAAAGATATGTACCATTTGATGACCATACAATATGAATTGATGAACTCATCATATAAATAAACGCCCCTTACCATGATGTGTACACTGGATAATAGCTTTTGATAGAAAATAGCATGTAACACAAAAGATAGTATATTGTACAATATAAACTATAAATACATGTTACCTTTATAATTATATTTACATTGGGAGTTTACAATGCTGACAACATATAATATCTGGTAAAGAAAAAATTAAATTTTCAAACTTCTCTTGAATGTTGAATTAATACAAATTCATGTAAATTATAAATCATACAGTACATACAATATGTATACATAAGCTTATGCCAAAAACTTTCTTTTAATTCGTTTATTTTGCGTTTCATTTGACAGTAGACCAATATAATGTTTGTTTATTCAACATTATTAGATAATTCCGACCAGCTTCTCTGGTGTATCCGTTTCTAACAAGATTCACCTCTGTTCATTATTTATCTAATATTGTGAATTACACAATGTATATAATTCACTTCCATTTCTACAGTGCCAGACAGTACCTTCATAAAGGATTTCCATCCATTACAGTCAATAATATGGACTCTGTATCTACTTTCTTTACTTCTATGCATAGGATATCAATGGGTGTTATTAATCCAAAACTCCTTTATATCCAGGAGATCATTAGTTTTCCTCTATTTTGCTTGCCTTATTATTTTCCAAACTGTTGGTCTACATGTTTTCACGATATCAAAAGCCTTGGTGATGTTCAAGGACTATTCTATTAGATCATATAAATGCATTAAAATGGTATTGTGCTTGATAAATGAAAAATTTCACCATATCAAAAGCCTTGGTGATGTTCAAAACTCTTTATCCAGGAGATCATTAGTTGTCCTCTATTTTGCTTGCCTTATTATTTTCCAAACTGTTGGTCTACATGTTTTCACCAATCAAAAGCCTTGGTGATGTTCAAGGACTATTCTAATAGAGCATATAAATAAATGCATTAAAATGGTATTGTGCTTGATAAACGAAAAATTTCACCATATCAAAAGCCTTGGTGATGTTCAAAAATCCTTACCCAGGAGATCATTAGTTGTCCCCTATTTTGCTTGCCTTATTATTTTCCATACTGTTGGTCTACATGTTTTCACCATATCAAAAGCCTTGGGGATGTTCAAGAACTATTCTAATAGAGCATATAAATGCATTAAAATAGTATTGTGCTTGATAAAGCCTTGATAAACGAAAAATATTAAGACTCTTTATAGTGTTCTTTTGTGTTGATTTGGTATCATCTATATCATTTTCTTGTGTGTGTGCAAGACAGGAGTAGGATGGCCGTATGGTTTAACGTGTGCACTTCACATCATAAGGTCTGTCATTGAGTCAATTGGCATGGTTTCGATTTTCCACTAGTACAAAACAAGGAGTAGGGTCATCTGTCCAACCTCGTGGGTTTTCTATGGGTCCTTTGGTTTCTTGCCACTACTAAAGACCTCTACGCGCAAGCGAATTATTGAAATAAAATTTAACCCTATGTTAGTCCCAAAATGACTTACTTTGAGTCAAGTGTACGTTAGACCTCATTTCTCTCATTGTGTGAAAGATGTAATAAGTACATGCAATAAGAGAAAAAATTGATATTACTATTTAACTGATATTTTTTGACTGACTAGATATTACTTCAAGCAACTGATGAAGCAGGATTTTGAGCAGTTCATATTATGATTGTCTACTAAGAGACTGGAAAACTGTTAATAAGGGTTGCATTAGAATAGATCTAATTCACCCTTTTTTATAACAGAAAACTCCCAAAAAGTTATACCACAGACCATATTACTCGTCCACATAATGTTCAGGGTACATCACTGTTGTAATCATAATTGGCAGTCACAATTTGAATTAATTACAAATGCAATTTATTTTTTTCGTAACGATTCTCCTCTTGGAAATAAATTTATCAAATGAATGGCCATTTGGTGATATTTCTTTGTTGGAACTTCTTCAACTCCGGATCATACAGACTGGGGACACAGTGTATTTTTACATTCTCTCTAGTTTATATAATTCCCAACCACAGATTGATTTAAAACAATTCAAAATGGTTTATTGTAATTGTTTATGACAATACCTTACTGTTCATTGTTCAAAGGATTAAAATGTTCTGTAATTTTGAATTAAAATAAAGTTTATCTGACCAATAACTGAATATCAAAGTGGCTGACATTGACGTAGCAAACAGGACACAAGTTTTTAAAAATGCCTTGAATTCCTGTGCCATATTTGATTCATTCTCAGCGCCGAATTTAGATGAAGAGGGGCCCTATATCGGCTTTTCCACTAAAGACAAGGACAGGAGGTCCCTCCCGATCACTTACCATCCCGACTAGAGGAAGATGAGAGTATGTTTTAAACACAATTGATCACAGCCAAGGATGATGACGGATGTTTAATACTACACTGTGTGTAAGAAAGGTTTATGCCAGGGTCAAAAGTTTCATACACCTTGGTCAGAGGCCCCCTAGATTTTGAAGTCCTTGGCTCCAGTCTGAGAAGCCTATACATGTATAATAATCTGGCACTGGCTCGAGGAAGCTAAATGAAAGTGAGTTTTAAACACAATGGAGAAAATCCGAGAATGATGACAGATATGTTTAAGACTACAGTGCAAGTTTTGGATTTTGAATAGGCGAAACCTGGCTCAAAAATCCTCAGTAACTTTCTCAGCCAACATTAGGGTCGACCTCTGGTACTTCTGGTTAATGAGCCACTGTTTGGGTAAAATTTTCCTGATAATAGCACATTTCATGGCTGTCCGGACAAAACTTACTTAGCACACTGGATATTTCATGTTTTCATTCGTCAGGTTGGTGAAGAAAAGTAATCTCATCTCATTTTATTTCACTTTCCCTTCAATAAATCTCTTTTTGGTACGACTACTCTATTACAACACACCAATCCAAATATTCTCTTGTTGGTCAGCAAGGTGTGTTGGTAAAAAGAATTGCACAACTGTAATGTATAATCCTAAACTTCTTCCAGTCTTTCTCGTGAAGATTGTTTAGTTGGGATTTCCGGAAAATATTAGTATGTCCAAAAGGTAACTAAAAGTACCTTTTTCTGCCGATATCATTTAAAAAATATAAATCCCTGTGACATGCACAAAGAAGAATTTATTTCTTAGGGCATCTAGATGCAAATATATGCTGTTTTCCTGCTAAATATAATTTTATACAATTTAGAAATCTGATCGATAAGGCTGTACAAAGTTTCTCAGGTAATTCTGACGATAGTCTCTAATGAGAGTCTTTCTTCAATTGTTAATATTAATGGGCTGTATTGGTTAACGCCAGGACTAGTCTAGGGTCATTTTGTAATTTGTTTTTATAGGCTATACATGTACGTAGGCCTATATTGCGGTTGGTGTGTCAAAAAGTCAATTTACATTTTTCTACATTTGGTAGGAAATAATCATTTACTTCCAGATCTTAAACACCTAATCCAATCTAAACTTCAAAATACATTACATGGAACTTTGCACCTAGCTTTGTAATAAAAATGGAAAATTTTGCCTCATTATATAATTATAATTATACAGTATAAATTATGCTGCCTCTAATGGGGAATTTAGATCTTTTTATAAGGCTAAATGTTGTTTTTTCAACTCTGTTAGCGACAACATCAAGATATTAATAGGTGTGGGCCGTGTGTTAAGCATGGAGCTAAGTCGATCAGTAGAGTACAAGGCCTACATTGAAAATACATACCTGATATTACCACGTTAATACTGTCACAGCCACCCTGTATTTTAGTCCTAACTTTCACTTTTCAGCGACTTCTCACTCTGTTCTTGTACAGTATAATTTATCTGTCCACTATCGAATTTAATCCTACGTGGTATCGAAACTGAACTTTCGACTATGTAGTATCTTAATACCCGCGAAAGATGTTCTAAAACCCATTGATAAACAAAAAGAACGAAACTTGTTTACAAGTGATGTTGACAATACGCCCGAACGAGACCAGGCGTGCAGACGATACGACTTCGAATGTTGTTAGGTGAGTTTGTGGCAAAAATAGTTTACTAACTTGATAAATGAAAAAGAAAGATGGCTTTCTTCCGACAGTTAATACGTGGTAATTTTTACTGCCCTTAGCTAATGTTGTATTCTTAGCATTTTCACTTTGACAGACCAGAAATCAGCTGAACGTCGTTCACGATTTCGATGCACAATTAGGCTAATATCCAGCAACCCTCTGAGAGCTTGCATAGTGCACGCGAGTGTGAGTAAAGGGAGGTAATAATTTGTAAAATGTAAATAAGAAAATAGATAAATATTTACTACACTAGCCCCACCCCCCTAAAATCAAACACACACACAATTAAAACACAAACTATATTTTTCTTGGGACACTTTCTTTCGTCTGAGCGAATTTTAATAGTCTTACCAAAAAAATACTGTACTAAATGATATGCGGTCAATGCTGGAGCACCGATCCAGAAAACTTATATTATGGCAACAGATAGAGAGAGATCGAGAGAGAGAAATGGGGTTTAACGTCCACTCGACACAAACTAGGTCATTTCGGGACTAACATATGGTTCAATTTTATTGGAATAATTCGCTTGCGCGTAGGGGTCTTTAGCAGTGGGAGGAAACCGGAGGACCCGGAGAAAACCCACGAGGTTGGACAGGCGACCCTACTCCTTGCCACGTACAACCGGGGATTCGAAACCACGCCAGTTGACTCAATGACAGACTTTATGCGCGCACGTGCTTACCATTCAGCCACCCAACCCCCCGCAACAGATAGAACTGTACGATGGCAATGCTAATAAATTATATAATCATATTAACGTATAGTTTACACTGCAGGGTAAACTGGGCTTATTGGTAGGCAATATTTTGTTTGCAGTGTAATTCTTCACCACTTATGCACAGGACCATAGGCAGCTAAAAGTCGCTTTATTGCCTTTATTGGAATGTTGGCCTAGATTAATCAGACAGTGCCGGATTTAGGACAAATGAGACCATACTAGTTAAGTGTAGTGCCCCTTACTTGGGCCCTGTGTCGAAGGTATCTGAAAATTCGTTATATCTGAGAAGATTAATTAGATCAACCTTCTTCTATTAGTGTACGCCCGCTTCCACCGATGGTGATATCGCAGAGAATTTGTCTTATTTTATCATGCTTAGTGCGCGCGTAGGGGTCTTTAAGAATACGCTCCTAGGCCACACATGCTCACCCCAGGGATTGAAACCGCGACCGCAAGCCATCTCCCCTTCGCCTTCCCTCCTTATAAGACCAACCTAATATGTGCAAAAGCTTATGCTGAATCAATGTATATATATTTTAATCCATTTCAGCAGGACCCTGTGCTTAAGCAAGCACACATATGCGTAGGAACTGAATGCAGAGTTAAACTAGGCTATATACCAGTTATACTATACATGTAAGTTTCCGTGGAAAGTCACCGCACGACATAACACGTGAATAGCGATAATGAAATTTACCGGCCTAAATATTGTGGTCACTTTGGATAAAATCTTATTTGTAGAATGATAAACTAATGTTACTAGTGTTATAACACAGATTGGCCTACAGTGTTGTTTTGTTGGGGTTTTTTTAAAAGCTCCACATTAAAATTTATCCAAACACGCTCTAAATACTGATTTACTTATTTGTAACGATTCGATTTGATTTTGGTCTTTAATTTAAATCATTGTTAATAAAGTATATTTATTTCTCAACATGATTTGACAAAATTCTTCCACGATGAAACCGAAAAAACAACCGACATTACAATTTATTAAAACGTTGGAGACTAGACTACTTGTACCTAGACAACTTAAAATCATTCAAAGACAACTACCTATATAATGTTTAATATCTTTCTATTCTTTAACGTTAATAATTTAGATTTTTCTAATCTCTGGCACATAATATTAAAGGGAACTAGAACTGCGATGCAGTAATGACGGGTTTCACCGGTGCCACGTTACCCTAAACATATGTCACTTCCGGTACCAATGAAACCATTAAACAGGTTTCCACCTCATCATTGCACACATCAAATAAAATGGACGCCGAATCAACCAAATCCAGCAATATCAATTCATTTTATATATTTGTTACATGTAAGTGTACAGTACTTCCGGTGATAATGAAAATATTCAATTAGTTTTATGAAATCAGAAATGGCATAAGGCATCACATGGTGAAAATTTTTATGTAAATCGAATAATAATTGCCACTTTTATAGACCAAAAACCTTAAAAAGTGACTTGTAGAAAACCGTCAATTCCTCTGCAACCATACAAGTTAGAAACCATTTTCTGGAATCTGTATGATCGTATGGGTTTATTCTATTTGTTGATTGGAATCAAATATCATAATTTTAAAAACATAACAACTCAGACTCATTTGAGTAAAATATCTGTTTTGAAAGCTAAAAATACAGTTTTTGCCAAAATGACGTTACTTCCGGTGATAATGAAAATCTTAAATTACTTGTATGAAATCGTAAATGGCATTAGGTATCACATAGTGAAAATTTCATGAAAATCGAATAATAATTGACACTTTTATGGACAAAAAACCTTGAAAAGTGACCTGTTGAAAATTACCTATTTCTCTACAACTGAACAAGTTAGAAACCATTTTGTGATACCTATATGATCGTATGGGTTCATTCTATTAGTTGATTAGAATCAAATATCAAAATATTAAACAAACAACAAATACGACTCATTTCAATAAATTATTTGTTTCTAAGGCTATAAATACAGTTTTTACCCAAATTTCGTCATTTCCGGTGACATGGAAAATGTTAAATTGAGTTGAACTAGTCACAATCGACATTATGCATCAAATGGTGTCACTTTTATGAAAATCCAATAATAATTGACTCTTTTACAGACACAATAGCGTAAAGAGTGACTCATGCAAAATTGACCATTTCTCGGCAACTGCTCATATTACAAACTAATTTTGAGATAGATTCTCTTCGTATGGATTAATGCTACAAGTTTATGAAAGTTGCGAAGAAATATTTTAAAATATGAAAAGCCTGAATGGGTTGTAAATAGCTCATTTTTTCACCTTTAAATAAAAATGACCCGAAAACGAAATCGAAATTAAAAAAACTGAGCCCGATGTTTTCTGCGCCTTTACAGGGCACACACTTTCAGTCATACCAGATTTGAAAAAAATAATATTTGCTTTCAAAAAGTGGTACCGAACTGTCAAAATTGTAGTTTTTGCTAAATTTACGTCACTTTCGTTGCCGAAAGGTAACTTTACCGGTAACAAAAAAAATGACATTTTGGATTACGGAGCATATGAACTTTGTTTTATACAAATCGAGCAATAAATAATTAATCCAGGACTGAAAAACTGAATTAGCCAATGGGGGTCAAGGAAATTTACGACGACAAAAAATGGTGTCATTTTTGGTCAAATCAGATGACTCTTTAACCCTGGGTAAAATACCACATTAAAATATTCATGAATAAAAAAGTTTTTTGTAAAAATTTAAATTTTCAAAATTTGGCGCCTAATATCTCAGACGATTCGTGGAAAATCAAAAATCTAAAGAACCGTGGCTATGTGCCTTGTCTCTGGCTATGTCAAAATGTATCCAATGTTAAAATCCGACGATTATTGTTAATATTACGGCAATATTTCAAAAATCGACAAATTCGACGATTTCGGACATTTCGCATTGTCGCAGAACGTTCGAAATAGCTTTAATCTCTAAGTCACACCCACTTTTCCAGTAAAACCGAAGACATCGAATCAATCCGACAAGTAGTTTCTGAGATACAATCAAATTGGAAAAAAAAAAATAATAATAATAACTAGATCTGCATAGCAGATATCAAAGCTTTCATATAAACTTCAAAAGGGGTTATTAGAATCTATGAATCAACAACCACTCTGACGGAAGATATTCTCTGGGCTAAAAAATCTTTTTTCTCTCAGCTACGAGAGATACGTAGAATTAAACCGGCCCAGAGCCGACCGTGTTGATACGAAGCCGCTTATTTGACTTTGACACATAACTGAAGGTGAATAGGCCTACCCGTCCAGTTAATACAATGGGCAATCTCACATCGGTCCACTAAAGAGAGGCACATGCTAGTCCAAACCTTGACTCTCATACATATAAACCATTTGGTACTACATGTACATGTATTTCGTACTTATATCATATTAAACCCCTCGGCCGCCATGTTGAATCACACAGTATATAACGTTCTATATCCTAACATCTTTATGAAATCAACGACAAATCTAAACTTGGGCACTCCAACCATTTTTATTTTTACATCATTCAGTTTTTTTTAAATAAGTAATTCTATCACAAATTATAGTGAAGACTGGACCACTAAACTAGTTACCCATCAGTTTTTCTTTGTGTTAATGCGTTCTACATTTTCAAAGCAATGATTCTTATAATGTGCGAGCCGCCATGACACCGGCGGATATTATAACTTCGATAGGCGAGAAACTTCAGGTAGCAGTTGGGTTTCATCAAATCATATAATTATGCGGTACGGCTTCACCTTTATTTCAATGGGAATTGGTTTATTATATGTGCAGTGCAGTTTTAGGTCAGTTTATGTGTAAATTAAGGGAGCTATACATAGGCCAGTAACCTTTTTGTAGTCATTTGACTAAAAAAAACTTGCGGAAAGGAACTCCGTAGGACAAGCCACTACTGTGGCAGGAGTAAGGCGGAAGACATCAGTAGTGGAACCATTTCTAAGTTAATCCCGAAATGCGTTGCTATTGTAAGAATATATAAAATCGGGTTTCCGTTCCGCTTTTTTTTTGCTGTAGTTTGAGTAATGAGTTAGAGCGTATATTTTGTAGTCAAAAAATCATTGCAAATAGAAGACCTCATCCCCACCACCACCAACCTGTAATACACTAGCTAGCTTGTGTATTTCCATATTCCATTTCCGAGAGATAGATAGAGAACACGCGAAATATAAAGTGATTTTTCTTACAATCAGGGACCATAATTCATGAAGTTACGATTCGATATGCGCAAATATCGAAAGGAACCATATCTTTGGGTTATAAACATGCATGTCAAGTTTCATCAAAATCTTTCACTGTGAAAAACCGGGGCTAAGTCATCTGAAATCAAACAAATTTTACAATGTAGGTAGTGAAAACAAAATGTTATGTTAAGCGTTGTTCGAGGGTGGGGTGGGTGCATAAAATTCCAAATGCAAAGGGTT